AATTGAGCAATCAAACACTCAGAGACAAATACAAACTTACATGAAAGTCAGCAGCAAGCAAACCTACAAACATTAATTGAAACCCTTTAATTTAGAGCACTATTGTATATATACATATACATTTAAAAATATCTTCTAATTACTTTCATCTACATGCTACACCTCACTTATTTGTAGTCTCACCTGCTTTGGATCTTTTCCCTACCAGCATTTCCTCATACCTCTGTAATAGAAAATTTATTCCCAAAAGCACTGTATATATATTATATTATATATATATTCACTTTCGGGCACACATATGCATATATGTATGTATATAACTGTATGCCCTGTTTTTTTGCTGCTTCAATTTCTTATTGTTATCTTTTCGAACATTTCTTCCATTGTCTTCTCTATTTATAACTGACATAATCCCCCAATATGTTGACAGAATCCACTATTTGCAATTTGCTATCTGCAATCTACCATCTTTGTTGCCTTTATGCCAGTATTACTGTAAGTTGTAGATACCAAATGCAAATTTCTATTTGTTTTCTGTTTATAAATATTTTGCGTTCTAATGCTCTCACTTGTAGTTATTTTAATCCATTAAGACTGCTTTAAGATAAGCAAATGAGTGCAAAATTATTCTGAAGCTTTCTTTTTTTTTGGGACAGCGTGCAGCTGCAGGCATGTATGTGTGTATATTTGTATGCATGTAGAATTTAATTTTTAAATTGTTGGGCGGGCAGGCGTAGGGTTGCCATAAGCACTTTTTTGTCAAATAAGGAGATAATGGCGAGGCGACTATTTTGAACGATATTTTCTACAAAATTCGGAATACTATAACGGTTTTTTGTAATCTAACCCGGTTTCGCTCTGTAAAAATCATGCTATTTGAATTATAAATACTTAATTTGCATTATTTTCATGGCGTTTTGCTAAGATTCAAGGTTTATTAAAAGGAAAAAGAAATTTTTTGATTAAGCCAAAGCTGAGCTGTAAGCGGATTTTTATAAAAGAATTACTTGAAAAAATTATGGAAAGTGCAAAAACAAGCTTTAATTCACAATTAATATGTAAGTGTGTATGTTAATAACAGATTTTATTGATTCCTATTGAAAGAATTTCTTTCTGTGTCAACGATTACTAAAAGCCCTTTAATTTTATAATAAAATTGTAGTATTGCATTTATTTGATAAATTTGTTCAAAGTAAAATTTTCAAAAAGGTGGCAACTCTTGCTGAAACTTCGCCGACAGAACACTTTATTGAACCTATTTAGTTTGAATTTTTTTGTTATAATTTGTTAATAATAACAATTGAATTGCTAAAAAAATCTTAAAAATTATGGCAACTCTGCTCGAAGATTTTTGATCGTAAGAATTTTAAAATCGTTTTAATTTGATAAAAATGAGCACATCTCTATCTAATCATTTATATAAAATAAAATAAAAAGTGAAACAGCTGGCAACTCTCATCCAAAAAAAATACAAAATTCATATGTAAGCTTTCGTAAACCTTTAGCGCTCTGTAGAATTTCGTTACAATCTCGCGTGTTTACTACAGTGTCAAAAGAAGTTGCACTTGAAAAATATTCTGGCAACTCTGCAATTCCGTATTTAGCCAGAATATGCATAAATGCATACATATGCACTTATGTTTATAGCCACGGCCCTTTAACTAAAAATGCGTACACGGATATAAACCACTTTTGCTCTATTGAGAACACACATGTGTATATATGTGTATGTGTATGGGGCAAAGATCTCAATCAACCAAGATGCATAAAAATGCATAAAGTAAGAGCAAAGAAAATTAAAAGTAAGACACCCCAAGAACGAGCTGCAAATGCATTCTAATGAATGCAAATGGCCAATAGTGGTGACAGAGCCATTTCGGACCAAGGCATGGACACAGCAATCTTCCACGTATGTATACATGTTCAAATACATATGTATGTAGTTGAATATGTATTTTTTTATGCATAAAAAGTGCTTACCGAAATCCCTATGGTTTCATTACGAATCATAAAATGCAGTTACCAAAACCATATAAAATTTAATGTGTGTGTGTATGTAAGTAATGTGAGCAAGCGGCACCACAGTTTGCTTCGTCTTTGAAAAAAATTTATTTAGCAAATTTTTAACTAAATTATTGTAGTAAAATTTTGGAAATATTGGTTTTGTATGATGTTTTATTTATATATACTTTTTTTTTAATTTTGCTTAAATAAATAAAGAATTTAATTTTGCTTAAATCCTTAAAAAGTGTGAGACATTTAATTTTATTATTTTTAATTTTATTAATTAAAGTTTGGTATTTTATAATTTTCTTTNTCTCACAAATCGCCAGTCAACACAACGACCACGTGTGCCCACAAACTAAACACAGCAGCCAAACAAGTAAACAAGCGTATAGCACGTGCTTACTTCGACACATCCTGTAAACATGCGCGCTACAATGCTAAATGCTCTCGCCAATTACTCGCGCGCAAATCCATACACAAACTCACATATCTCACCCCCCCCCCATCCAAACTTTGACCACCCACACTCACGCTCTCCCGCAAAGCAGTAGATGCATTGCAGTCCCTCTGCTTGCTTTGTTTGTCCTCTGCATTTGCAGTATCCCCGCACCCCTTGGGCAAATTCAATTTTTATTTATTACCTACCCAAACGACCAGGCCAAAGGACACACAACACATAGACACCAGTGCAGGCTGAGCGCCCGAACCAGCCGCAGCGCAGCGAAGCGGCAGGCAACTCCGTCGTCCACTTGGCGAAAAAATGTGTAGCACTTGACTCTTTCTCTGGATCTGGAGTAAGAAAGATAAATACAAGTTGCGAAACATCCGCAAGATGCCAGAAAAGCAACTAACGGCACAATAGTACTTGCAGTAAGATGTTGATGAAAGTTTGAGTGGCGCGCTGATGAAAGTATGGCAAAAAGCCGGGGAGACTTTGTCAATGCGTAGGCATCAGCGATATGAGCATAAATATGTATGCACCATATATAAATATATTCATATGTATATATATATGTATATATTCCGCTTTGTTTTATGGCATTCCCGTAAATGTATTAGTTTAAGAAAATTTGGCAAACGGATCACGTGCAACTTTGGCTTGAAGAAAGTATGAGCGTAAGTTTAGTGTTGTACAAAAAAGGGCATATCTAACGTACGTACGTAAAGAGTAAAATAACTGTATGAATAAATATTTGGAACTAGAAAAACGTTGCTAGGATTTGTGAAATAAACTGAAAACTAAAATCTTAAAAACAATTTTAATTTTACATAGGTATAAGCATAAGACTGAGTATATAGTAATACACGGAATTAAAAAATTATTAAAAAATATAAGCTCGAAATTACAAACAAAATCTCATAAAATTTTACCTTCAGTATCGTCTTAAAAACAGGTTTCTTCTAAGCCAATACAAAAACCATAATGATTAATGGAATTTTCGAAACTTTGGTTACAGACGTCAGCGAATAGTTTTTACAACGATTTTCTCTTTATAGTACTGATCGAAACCAAAAAAAAGTTTCAGCTGAAATCAGGCGATCGTTAATATCTCTTTGGTGAACTGACTTGACAATATTTGAAAAAAAAAATTATGAACTTTGTGATGGGAGTTTTCTCGGCGATGAAAATGGAGGAATCGCATGTTACAAGTCTACTCCGATATTTCGAAAATCAGAGTTGCAAGTCGAGTCTAGCGCCAGTCGATAAGGTAGACTATACAATAATAAAACTATAACAATGACGAAAACACATTCATTTGAGAAACAATTGATAAAGATGTCAAATGAAGTCATAAAATGTTTGTCTCTAGACACAATTTTTTTTCAGTGTAAATTTTCATAACGTTCCAAAGAGTGTCAAAAGGAAAAAGTTTGTGCTTATAGTATTAAAAATAAATATCTGAAGTTACTTCTTGACGTGTATATCGGCTTGTCATATGTCTCTTTTAGATTTTTCCAATCTGTAAGCATTATAAAATAAGAAAAAAACGTTAACTTCGGTTACACCGAAGCGATAATACCCTTCACATATACTAAGCATTTCTTACAAGAACTTTGATCGGTCAGTTTGTATGGCAGCTATATGCTATAGTGGCACGATCTAAACATTTTTTTTCGAAGATTGCACTGTTGCTTTCGAAAATAACCCACGCCGAATTTGATGAAGATATCTCGTCAAATAAAAAAATTTCCTCTACAAGCACTTTATTCCGATCGTTCAGTTTGTATGTCAGCTATATACTATAGTGGTACGATATGGGCCGTTCCGACAAATGAACAGCTTTTTCGAAGGAAAAGGACGGGTGCAAAATTTCAGTTCGATATCTCAAAAACTGAGGGACTAGTTCGTATATATAAGACGTACAGACGGATATGGCTAAATCGACTAAGCTGATCATTTATATATATACTTCAGAGTGTCACTCACGTTGGGTGTTATAAACATTGTGGCAAACTTAAAATATCTTGTATAGGGTATACAAACCAAAAAAATTAGACCACGAACCTATCCAAAAATATTTTCGCAACTTATATATCAGTCATTTCAATATTCATAAATATGTTTCAACAGTAAAAATTTCAGTTAGCGTATTTTAAAGATTTTCCAAATATTAGCCGCTTTCGATATCCATTAAGGTTTTAAATTTCACTATATTTCTTTTCTATTTAATTACAAAACAAATTTAACTTTACCATGTACACATTTAGTCATTCTTACTGGGAATGTATGCCGTAGTGAGAGTCACATAGCAAAATAAATAGAGAGATAGAGCGGCAACCAACTGCTTGTATGAGTATTTTGAGCAGAGTGAGACAAAAAGAGACACGTTGGGTTAAGTACAAACCAATTTGTGACTATTTTTTGGCCACATACGACGATGCACGGCTAGAACAACAACTACAATAGCAACAACGATGGCGCAACGCGATGATGACGCGCCAACAACGACGACCGACTACGATTTGGCCGACTACGCAAGGCGATTGCGACTGCGACAGCGGCCGGCCGTTTGCTGTTTGCCGTTTGGCAGGCCAAACCGAAACAAACCGAGCCATGGCACGGCAGTCGTCAGTCAGTTGGCCAACAAAGTAGCAGCAGCCAACAACGTGTGGTGTGCTTGCTTGGCACCGAAAGTGGCGGTATGCCCTTCGGGCGATTTTCTTGGATCGCAACGCATCCAAGAAAATCGCCAACACGGCAGCCAGAAAAATACGGGCAGCAACAGCAACAAACAGCAGCAAATCACTAAACACAGGGGGAAAAAATCGACGAAAAAAAAAACTAAAAATAATATATATTTCGTCTTCATTGTTTGGCGATTCATTTTTATTTTTCCACAAGCTCTGGCCAAGAGAGCAGCTGTTCAAGTGATGTGATGATGTTGTGATCCAAGTCCAAGAATTAAGACAAACACACAGTGTCGGGTTAAGCGCTATGCAAGACATAACGGTGTATGTCGTGTGTTGGTGTTGCTTATTGGCGATGACAATTGCAGCACTTGGCCAACAACTCAAAAAGTCATCAAGAAATGTCATGAAGTGGCAAAGAATATGATGCCAACGGCCAGTCAACACACGCACACAAACACACACACACACGCTGGTGGAACATGCAGACGATTAGCCAAATTCAAAGCCAGTGTTGGCTAACAGGCAATAAGAAAGCAATAACAACAGCAAATCGCAGACATCAGGTAAAGTCGACGCTGGAGGTGAACGCGGCCAAAAACAACAGCCGCTCGAATTTAAGTTCTACGCCAGTAAAGTGTTTGCTAAATGTCGACCGGAAACTAACGGAAATCCTATTGACCGACTTTGACAGTTACCAATCAGCAACGATGTCGTGCTGGTGCCTACGTACAACCAACTACCAACAACAACCGGGAAAGTAGCAATTAAAAAACAAGAAGAATACGTCCGTCTCAATCATGCAGCTACCAACAGTGCGCGTCGCACGTCAACAGATGCACACGTTGGTCGAACGCACGCACCAGACCACCTCACTGCCATAACGGTACGCTGTCGATAGCAACGGTTCAATTAACTTTTCGTTCAAATGGAGCAGTTGGAATTCAAACAATTAAGAACGCTGGCCATAACACACACCCTATCACACCTGATTGACGAAATTCGTCTAGCGGCAAGCAGCTGCTGGCTATATCCCAAAAAAGCTATTGTTTCACTTTATTTTTTTTTGGCAATTGACAACGCCAAATTATGAAGTCGTAGCGTTGTGCTTGCGAAATGTCAACACCGCATCAAGCCAAGCCGTGCCAAACTAGACAGCCACCGCGCCAACACACTTTAACCGTGGCCAATTGGCCGGAAAATCAAAGCCAGCTGCCCTTTGGAGCGTTGCAAATACGCATAACGCTGGTGTACGCGCTGAAGGCTGCACACGCGCGGCTTACGAGTGAATACTGCGCGTCATAACGTGAAATTTTGGATAAAAACGTTTTCGAAAATATTCAAAAATATCCAAAAGCATACGCGTAGCAATAAAATATTAAATAGTTAAATATAAAATCAATGAAACGTTAATAGAGGTAGTGAACTTTCATCGCATTAACTTAGTTTTCAATAAAGTGCTTAAGCAACAACAAAAAGTAGTCGCTTAGTCTACACTCACATAAAATTGTGTAATAATAAATTACATGTAATTATAATTCAACAATTAAAAAAGACAATTACATAATACTGTAAGTGTAGTGAAACTAGAACAGGCATATAACGGTAAAACAACGTTAAGAAAACATATGTGCAATATTAGTTTCGAATATATGCATAAGAAAGCAACAATTTTCTAAGCGAAAAATTGTTTAAAAAAATATTAAATATTAAGAAGTAATAAATTAAATCATTAATCAAAATATATACATATATCAACTATAATCTATAAATATATAAACAGCTGTATAGCATACATTTACTTACATAATCGCAACGATCATGATGCAAAATCGGTGAACTGTTGCGAACCCAGTTATCAGTGTCGGTTTCAATACCGCAATGTACACGCTGATAAAAATAGTACCGCAATTCGCCCACAGCAGTCAGATGGAATTTCCTGAAACAACAAAAATATCAGAATTCTGGTGAGTTAAATGCAATATATATAACATAAGTGTAAAGTTGAAGGCAGATGCCATCAGCAAAAATATTTAAAGAGATGTTTTAAATACGCTACAGTATTGTTAAACTAAATACATTAAGTTGGATTTTAATTTCTGATTTATGATTTGTATTGAAATTCCTTACAATTGGTTAATAGAAATTTAATATTAAGATTAAAAAAATAAAATTTTTTTTTTTTTGATTTTGTTGTATGTCAGGCTCAAAGTATACCTAAGAATGACAGAATTCGTGAAATCGAACCTGTCAAAAATTTTTAGTGGGTCTTTCTAACAGCCCAGTATCAAAGTCACTCACAAGGCCAAAGCCAGCCAAAGCACCTTACACAATATAATATAGCAAAGTAAAGCAAGCAAAGCAAATATTTAAAACAAAAAAATTCTAAAAATTGCTTGGTTTGAATTCCACTTAAAATAAAACGGTATATAGTCTCTATATAAAAGTAAGAAAATATTAAGCTTCCATTTGACTTAATGCCTCAAGAGCACAAAAAAGCTTGCAAAATCAAGTTTAATCGAGCCATAATCTAAAATTCTAAAAATAATAATACAAATTGCTTATTTTAACTAAAGCCAGCTATTTAAACTAAAAGAAATTTTCAAAAAACTTTAAGGTATTACGAAATAGAAATAAAAAATCTAAAATTTTATAGAACTTAATCACAGAAGACATTTGAGCGGTTTTTTTTCAAAATATTTTAGCTCTAAAGATTTGAAGCCAAATAGAATTCCTTATGTTTCAGAGTTATGTCCGTGCTACAGTTAGAAAGTTTTTGAGTTCAATTTCAAGCATTAAAAATGTTTCTTAATAGCTGTTGCTTAGCGACAGCAAACCGTTGAGTAAATTACTGCCAAAACAAAGCTTTTTAAAAATTATTATAATATCTGCGCGAAGTTGCAACTGGTTGCCAGTTTTAAGCTAAAAGTTGTAAGATCTTCCGTTTGTCGTATAACAACGAGGTCCGAAAAAATTGGAGCATCTACTGATGATATAAGCTCCAACAATATTTATATATAAAATAAATTAGATTTTTTAATTGTAGGCCGAAATTAGAGATTTGAAATTAGAGAGTTTCGGCATATATATTATTTTTTTAATTTTTTTATAGAGCTCTATAATAGCACTAGCAATTACAATTAAGGCAGTTGGAATTACCTTTGATATTAACCACTGTACGGGAGTTCGTTTACAAAAAAAAAAAAAAAATTTACTACAAATCTTCGACGGTCAGAAATAGTTATAATTATGCGGTCCAGTCAAGCCTACTCTTGAGTTATTGCTGGACCTGTTATTGGTTATATACAGTTAGAAGGCCGAAAAAAAGTAAATTTGTCAGAAATTTTTTGAGCCAACTTTTAAATTTATTGATCCAAAAATTTATACATGGTATCTTTTAACTATATTTTAAGACTTAGTATAAGTATAAATATTTATTTGGAAAAGAGCTATAGCTGATCTCCGGGAGCTCCTCCTAAAAAAGACGTTTTGCTGTGGCCACTATATCTCTGAACGGAATCTTATGAAATTAAAAAACCAAACAGATTTCGTTAAAGTAATGTAGAACCTAGTAATTAATCGAAGGAATAAGCAAAATACATTTTTTGAAAAAAATGGCGGTTTCTCAAAAAAAAAAATCGATTTTTCACCGCAATTTCGGCCTTAAATTGTTTATAAAGCAAAACTAATTGTATTTATTGGAGAGAAAAAATCTACGATTAATTACTAAAACATATATTTAAGAAGCTCGTGTTTAAATTTGAGACTATGCAGTTTAGCCGTTTTCGAGTAATGTTGGTCATCGACTTTGAAAACACCATTCGGAGAAAAACGTGCTGCCGCTCCGGCCTTGCACTTCCAAGCACTCTGAAACGCCATTTCAAATTTGCGTGTAACTTCGAAAATACTCACCGGAACGATATGAAATTTTCTGTGTGTATTCTTAAATATATGTACATGAAGAAAAAAAAATTAAAAAAAAAATCGATTTTTTGAAAATTCTAACTGCAAAACTAAACTCAAAAAATATTTAACTTACTTTACGATAGACTAGGTTAGGTTATATTGGCTGGCTGTCACGTCATACATAGATCTACTGGTCCTTGTTATTAAATATTTATTCATAAGGACCTTAAACGTGTTGTCTTCGGAATTCTTTCAAATAAATTTTAGTATTAGGTATAAATGGGTTAACATAAAGAAAACAAATTAGTTAAAGATGTCTAAAGCGAGCAGTGTCCTTACTAAAAATGTAATGTGTTTTATTTACATAGAAAAACTTGATTTAATACCGTTATATTGTTTTCAAAAGCATGGAGCTGCACGCGTGGAAGTCATTAAATATATGCCTACTTATATATATATGTATATAGTTCATAAGTATAACTAAGCAGAAGAGCACGACCACTTGGCGCCGTAATAAATATTTATTTCGCCATATGACGCCTCGACGAATGTTATGCATTTGCCGCTGTAATAAATTTGCAAACGCATAGAGCGTTGCGTGTTCGAGCTGTGCGTACTTCTGCTCTTCAGCTTCAAGCTTCCAAACTTAAAATTGCAGTAAGTAAAATGCTAAATTCACGACATCAAATATTATAACAGCAATTGGTAACTGGAAAAACTTAAAAAATTCAAACGCAAATTTAATTTATGCCTCTTGATAATTTGTAGATAAATATACAAACTAAAATTAACCGATTGACAATAAAAAATATATTTGTATACTATATACACATATGTATATGCATATATGTACATATATACACTCAGAAATATTCTTTTTGAAAACAAAAATTTGCGGGGGAGTCATGTTTTCATGCGATTGTGGACGCGAACATGCATAAACGCAGTGTTGTTGTCATATTTGAAACACAGCGATGAAAAGCGAAAAATTACATAAAAACAAAATTTATTATTACAACTTGTGTTGTTATTGTTTTAGCAGTAAAATTTTTTAATGTGCGCATTAAACGGGGCGTATGAGTGTTATTAAATACGAAATATTACTCATACGCCATGGTAAGCTGTACGCAGCACTGAATAGGCTTAGAAATACTTACATATGGTAAATAGAAAATAATAAAAATTTGCGAAAAGCTGACAATATTGTTGACAATTATTTTTTAGTCGATTTAGCTATGTCTGTCTGTATATATGTGAACTAGCCACCCACTGTTTTTGAGATATCGATCTGAAATTTTGCACACGTCCTTTTCTTTTCAAGAAGCTGCTCATTTGTTGAAACCGCTTATATTTCACATTAACACTATATGATATAGCTGTCATACTGTCGATCAAAATCAAGTTCTTCTATGGAAAGCTTTTTCATTTGAAATGATATCTTCATGAAATTTGCCATGGATTATTGCGCAAGGCAACGGTATAATCTAAGAAAAAAATTGCTCAGATCGGATCACTAAAACACGTAGTTGTCATACAAACTGAACCATCGGAATCAATTGTTTGTACGGAAAACTTGATTATTTGACAAGATATCTTTACGAAATTTGCCATGGAATATTGTACATGACAACGCTATAATCTGCGAAGATCGAACCACTATAGGATATAACTGTCATATAAATTGATCGATCAAAATCAAATCTTGTTTGAAAAACTTTTTTATTTGACAAGATATCTTGACGAAATTTGGCTCAGGTTATTATCAAAGGCAACGCTACAATCTGCGAAGAAATTGTTTAGATCGGACCACTATAGCATATAGCTGCAATAGAAATTGATAGACCAAAATCAAGATAAAGATCTTTTTATACCATTTGATGCTATAAGAAATGCAACTGTGTAGCATATTACCGCTTCGCTGCAACTGAAATTATCGTTTTCTCTTCCTTAATATTTATTTTTAATTCTTTTTATTTTGTTTTTAATTTTTTAAATTTTATTTTTAATAACATTTTCTTTCTTCATTTTCATTTATTATTGTACTAAAAATATTTTATTGCAAAAACGTGCAAAACGCTATAATTTAATTTTATTTCTCCCAATCTGCACACCAAATAAGTAATTACTCAAACTGTTTATTACTAAATGCAGCGTAACTAATGTCTTACAAGGAAAATTCTGTTGGCAGCCAAAATTTATACGCCATTAAAACAATTAACAATTTGGAAGAAAGCCTCAAGAGCAGAGACAGCAGCCAAGCAGGAGAGACTTCCGCACACCTCTGCTGCTTAAATTACACAAACAATTAGAATTGCATATAAAAACAAGCAAACAGTTGAATCTACATGTCCATTACTATAACTAGCTTCGTAGCATGAAGCACTCAGGCATTGCTCAAGTTAATTAGCATCCTTCGTTCTACATTAGCCCGATGTCCCCGGCAACTCGCGCGAAGACAAATTCACAATTAAGTAAATTAAGTGAATTCATTGGCGGAACAAGTTTAATTGCTGAGGAATTTGAGAAATGCAGCGCGGAAAATAATATTTTCAACCTTCACTTTGCTGCTTTTGTCATAATGCATTGTGTGTCGTATGCAAAGTATGTTCAAGTTGCTTCTGGAGGCTATGTGTGGCTCTGTGAATTATTGTTGACATGAAATTGAGAAAAAAATACTGTTATTCAAATATGTAGTAGATTGAATGGGTGCAGCAATGTCCAAAGCAAAAGATAAAATAATTGATTGTGTCGAGCAACAAAAAAAATGAAAGCATGGTGTTGGCCGAAGCCTCCACAAAGCAAATACCGTTGCTTTCGTTCTTTGCATATTATTTTTACAATAGCCAAATATTGTGCTGCCTCTAGAATATTTTTTAGCATTCCACACTTTGTTGGCAGCGCCTTTTTTCTGCCAATTTTCGCATTCGCTGTTGACACAAACAATGTGTCGGACATCCTGCCGAAATAATTTCTCAGCAGCTTTACACATTCTGCGCTGTTATATTTTTTTTATAACAAACAATTTTAATTCTTTGCATTTTTTTCGCCGGAAATTGGCAAC